ATTTAATTAATAATTTAATTATTTACTAATTTTTTTTATGATAAAATAAATAAAATCAAGAGCGTGCCAGCTACACAAACAAACTATAAAGAAAATTAAAGTATAAATATTACAAACACAAAATTTAAATAAAAAAAAAATAAAATTAAGAAAATCAAAAGAGTAAAAGTGAACTTTTTTTCCAAAAAGATTTTATTCCCTAAACTAGTCAGCTCCGGTGTCGAGGTCACACACATTGGACTAAATGTCATATCCCCAATATGCTGATCGCTATAGAGACCAGGATAACTTCACTAACAGCAACACTAAAAATAATACTAATTGTCATATCTACACACTGTGCTTTCATCACCCATTCATCTATGATTCATGATAAGACACCAGCCTCTTCATATCTCAATGAGTGGGCCGTTCAGATCGACGGCAATGAAACAGTCGCCAAGTCTCTAGCTTCGAAACATGGATTTTTCTACATCACTAGGGTGGGTGTGTTGGTTTATTTATTGTTTTTTTTATGTTTTTTTAATTTTTTTTATGTAGCTACAGCTATAAAAGTTGTTTATTGAATGTTTCTAGTAGTGTGTGTTTGTACATTTATCCGTGTCTGTGTGTTTTTGCTGATTCTATTTGTAAAATAGAAGAATGAAATAAAAACAATAGCAAGAACAATAATAATAAAACAAATTATGAAATGATAAATTGATAAATTTATGGTAACTTTGCCAAGGTGAGGAATAATCAATCTTTGTTTTGCGTCCAGAGACCCGGTTTCTCGAGGTAGGACGTAAGTGAGGAATAGACAAAAACTTGAATTAATTTTTTGTTTTTTTTTTGGAAGAGAATTCATTTTAAAATTATGTTACTGTAGTTCGGGACCATCATACAGTAAAAAAAGTTAATTTAGTTTAATAATAGTAATAATTATAATATATTAATAATAATAATATTTAATAATATGATAATAATAATAATCAAATGATGTAATGCCTAAAAATAGATATTGTATTAATTTATCATGATAGTAATTGGAAGATGCACTATCTAAAAATAGATATTGGAAAATTATTACCTCTTTCGACACCCTCGCATTGCCAAGCGGTCGCTGAGGGAGACGACATCTGACCACCTCAGTTCGCTGCAACACGAGAACAAGGTTCGACAGTGATTGTGATGCTGATGATGATGGTAATGATAACAGTGATGGTGATTTTGATGGTGATGATAATAGTAATGACAAATTGTGATGAGGATGATGATAACGAATGTGATGATGGTGATGGTAGAAATTTCCGAGGTTGGCTACAACATCTCCATCACCACCATCATCATCATTGGCATCCTCCCATCTCCCTCATCATCCTCACTATCTCATCACACACAGGTAAAGTGGATAGAGCAGCAGAGAGTTAGGAGGAGAGTGAAGAGGAATGTCCATTTCACTGACAACAAGTGGCCGAAGATGTGGTACTTGGTGGGTGTCGTTGTCGTCATCGTCTTCATCATCGTTTTCATCATCATCCTCATTATCATCATCGTCGTCGTCATCGCCCTCATTATTGCTATCGTCATCATTACTAACTTCATCATCGTCATCGACGTCATCAGTATTGTTATCATTTTGATTAACACTGCCATTCATTATCATCATTCTAGTACCATCATCGTTATCATCATCATCTTTATTATCGTTCATAATCATTATAATTTTTATTCATAATCATTATCATTTTTATTCATCATCGTCATCATTTTCATGCATCATCATCATTTTCACCATCTCCAGCATCATTGTCATTAATAAATAAATATCGTCCTTGACATTTAAAAACTACAAAACAGAATGGGGCCGTAAACTTTGACATGAACTTGTTGCGTGCCTGGGAGGCGGGCTACACCGGCGAGGGCGTCGTCGTAACCGTGCTCGACGATGGCATTGAGAAAGATCACCCCGACCTTCGAAATAATTATGTAATTGGGTCGGGTTACTGTGGGTGCTGTTTTATTGGTCGTTAATAAACTTGTATGTAAATGGGTCAGATAAGGCTATTGGTTAAGTTATTGCATATTAAGTAATAAATGTAAATAGGTCAGATAAGTCTATTGGTTAAGTTATAAGTTTACACATATAACACAAACACGTACACACACAGGCACACACATACACACAGACAAATTATTTTCACGCACACACCCACGCACGCACACACACACGCACACACACACGTCATCATCACCATCATCAAAATGATGACAGGATGAAGACGCCAGTTATGACGTCAACGATCAGGACCCCGACCCCCAGCCAAGATACGAACACTCCAACGAAAATAGGTCGAATTTGTGTTTCTATGTATGAGTTTATTTACTGTGCGTGTGTTTTGTATCTGCATATACCACTGCATTTTGTATTTATTCAATTGTATTTTGTTGTGGTACTGGGCATTCAGATTGTATAATTACATAAAACTTGTGGGTTGTTTTCTATATTTGTCATGATGGCCTGGTGCTCTGCCTGGCAAACTCTGCTGGACGGTTTTGAATTTTATCGGCATGACGCGGACGAAATTTTAAAAATCTGGCACCATCAAAGAAAATTTAAAAAATTTCAGAATGATTTATTTTTTTTAAAACGATCTAAAACAAAAAAATGCCGTTTTAAAAATGTCGCAATTTTATACCTCCACTCCCTTCTTGAATATTGCAACCACGTATTCTGACAGCTGATCACGCTCATCTCAGCAGGAATATTTAATTCGTGATGGGTTGAAATATTTAATTTGTTATGGGTCAGCTTTCGCGTGCTCTTTTCCACACTCATCTCACCTCATTACAACTGCTAATCAGTTATTTTTAAACGGCTGACCACTGTTGTGCTAGGCTTCTTTCCCTGAGGCAGTCTTTGGATTTGATTGGCCATGCTTTCTTTGGCGCTCTCACTTTCATATCCATCTCACATATTCCAACAATTTAGGCAGCTGACATCTGATCTGATGAACTTTTTTATTGCGTTTCTCGCTGGCTATCTCCGAGCTAGGCCCGTTAAATTCAACACCACCACCATACCACACCACACATCATCGTCACCACCACACCACCACCACCACACCACCACCACACATCATCGTCACCACCACACATCATCATCAGACATGGAACGAGATGTGCTGGTGAAATTGCAGCAGAGGCCAACAATGGAATCTGCAGCGTCGGCATTGCTTATCGCTGTAGGATCGGTGGTCAGTTAATTAATTAATTCATTATTAATTAATTAATTATTTTTCAATTAATTAATCAATTAATTTTAATTAATTATTTGTTAACAATTAGTTAATAATTGATTGATGTAATTAAATGGTAATGAATTTTTTGTTTTATGTTTGTTTGTTTGTTCGTTTATGTTATATGCATGATTTTTGTTACTCACTCTTGAACTGATCTATCTAATTTTCAAAAGATTTCCTTTTGCACTTCAATCAATTAGCCAATTAATCAATCAGCCAATTAATCAATCAAGCAAGCAATCAATCAATCAAGCAAGCAATCAAGCAAACACTCAATCAATCATCCAATCAGCGTTAAACCAACCATACATTCCAATCATTCAATTAAACCATCAATCCATTCATCCACCCATCCATCTACCGACTCGCAGGCGTTCGAATGCTGGATGGTGATGTTTCTGATGCTGTGGAGGCACAATCCCTCACACTGCACCCCCACTACATTGACATCTTCAGCATTTCTTGGGGCCCGGACGATGACGGCAAGACAGTGGATGGCCCTGGACCCCTTGCTAGGAAGGCCTTCTCTGACGGGGTTCTCATGGTGAGGATGATGCTGAGGCTGCTGTGATGATGATGAAGAAGAAGAAGATGATGATGAAAATAATAATGATAAGAGTGTTGATGTCTTTTTAAAAAACCATTACTACTAGATATTTTTTCGTAATAAAAGTATCAGCCTATCGTGTGCATGAGGCTATTCGCACATGCAACCAAATGAGCCCGGCGAACGTATACAGACTTGAAATTTATTTACCGCATTTGACCTTTTAATTTTTGACCTTCTGACCTTTGCAGGGTCGCAAGGGCTTGGGTTCAATATTTATCTGGGCTTCAGGGAATGGAGGGAAGGAGGGGGATGGATGCAACTGTGATGGATACACCAACAACATTTACACACTTTCTATCAGTAGTGCCACCGAAACTGGACAGGTGATAATGATGATCATGATCACGTGACCACACAACATTACCACGTGACAACACAACATAATCATATGACCACACAACATAATCATATGACCACACAGCATAATCATATGACCACACAACATAATCATATGACCACACAACATAATCAAATGACCACACAACATAATCAAATGACCACACAACATTAGCACGTGACCACACAACCTAACCACGTGACTGACCACACACACACACGCCCTCACAGGTACCTTGGTATTCAGAAGCCTGCTCCTCGACACTGGCCACAACATTCAGCAGCGGCACAAATACGGATAGACAGATCGTCACAACGGATCTGAGGAAAGGATGCACCGAAGGACACACAGGGACCTCTGCTAGCGCTCCATTGGCTGCCGGCGTTTGCGCCCTCGTTCTTCAGGCCAAGTTAGTGAATTGTGATTGGTCGGCTTGGTGGGCTGAATTATTGATATGATTTGCTGAAATCTGATAGGATGGATAAATTTTTTGTGGTGGTAATCAGTGCACTGTGATGGTAAATTGGCTGAATAGATTTAGAAAACTATGACAAAGTACAAATTATAAAATAAATTGTCATCAGTGAGTCAATGAGTGAGCGATTGATTGGTTGATTGAATGATTGATTGATTGATTAAGTGAGTAAGAGTGAGTGATTTTATTTTTTTCACAATCCCAGATGGGTGAGTTTGTGTATTATGTTATTTTCCTCATAGCTCTGGACTGACATGGCGCGACCTGCAGTACATTATCGTCCTAACTGCCCAGCCCAACAATCTCCTGGCAGAGGATTGGCAGACCAATGGAGTCGGAAAGTTGGGTTTGTGATGGTGATGATGATGAGGATGATGATGGGGGGTGGCGATGATGGTGATGGGGGTGGCGATGATGGTGATGTCTGATGGGTTGTGATAATGATGATGACTGACAAACTCTCACTCAGATAGATACTTATAACCACGACTGTATCTTCATGGATCTTGATCTACAGTACATTTTTAATTCACACTAAATTAACGTATGTTCTGTAATGCATGTACGCATGTGGACATGTGATTCTCATTTATGGCTCTACAAAAGCTTTCTTGTAGCTGTCCTGTCATTTTGTTTGGATGTTTTTTTAGCAAAAGTCACCCCACTCTATCCCTATCATCATCATCATCATCGCGCTGACTCTATCGCAATCATCACCTTCATCATTATACTCTCACTTCATCACAATCATCATCATCATCGCAATCGTATTCTCTCTTCACCACCACCACCACAAACCAGTGAGTCATTATTTTGGATACGGTCTGCTGGACGCGCACACGATGATCAGGCTGGCCCTCAACTGGTCCAACGTCCCAGAACAACATAGGTGTGAAATCGTCTCCAAAAATTCACACCGGTCTGTTTATCATTGTTATTATTATTATTATTTATGATGATGATGATGATTATCGTCACCATCGTCATCATCGTCGCCAGGAACATTCCGATGTACAGCCAGATTGAGAACATTTTATACAGCGATGGATGCCACGATGACAAGTTGCATCACGTGCAGTACCTCGAACACGTCATCGTCACTATCACCTTGACCTCGACCAGGAGGGGCGAGTTGGAAGTCTACATCACTTCTCCCAGGGGTACCAGGTTGGCCATTCATTCGTTCATTCATTCATTCATTCATTCGTTCGTTCATTCATTCGTTCATTCATTCATTCATTCGTCCAAACATTCTTCCTCCTAATCTTCCATCACGATGTCTAGTATGGAATTGTCGATTTTTTACCGACGATATTTTTTCAGTGTTGGCTTTGGTATCGGAAAAGGTTAAAGGTACATTACACTCTTCCATAGTTCAGAGGATTCAACAAAGCGCACAAACATCGTATATGAATACGTGCTAAACGACGCATCACACACGAAGCATGTGATAGGCGGGGATCATTTTGTCATATTCGAACCCGATTACTACCAAACAGCACCGGGCGACCTTAACCATTAGACCATCACGCCGCCCATAGCAGTACTTTTGAGGTCGAGTATCGAACTTAATACCGCCGATACTTTTAAACAGAAATAAAATCGATACCCGAAACGAAACTAATACCGTAGAACTTCAAGCGAATGTATTTTGAATGGTGTTTATAATTTTATTTTTTAAAGTTCGCCGCACTTTACAAGTTTACGAAGTGGTAAATTCTGAATTCGATGTTCAGTTTCGGCGTCTTTTGCTTGTTTGTTGTTTTTAAAAATTGTATTTTACACCAGTGGTCATTTCTCGCTGTTATATATTAACCACCGAATGCCGTTGTTTGATTGAACTTGGCAACATAATATTTGAGTATTGTTAACAATCCTGCCTTCCATTCATTCATCTATTTATTAATTTTTTTACCAATCAATCAGTCAATCAATCACTCAATCTATCAATCATTCTCTCAATCGATCTATTCATTTTCACATTCATTCATTGACATAGCAATTGCTCATTTGCTGAACCAGTCAACCAACCAACCAACCAGTCAACCAACCAACCATCCAACCAATCAACCAACCAACCAGTCAACCAACCAATCAATCAACCAATCAATCAACCAACCAGTCAAACAATCGATCAACCAACCAATCACAGATCGACCTTACTGGCGCGCCGACCAGTGGACTCATCGGCAGAGGGATTCAACAATTGGTCCTTCATGACGACACACTGTTGGGGCGAAACTTCCGAGGGCGCCTGGAAACTGGAAGTTAAGAATTCAGGAAGTTACGGTCAGTTTGCATGTTCATTTGTGTGTTGGTTTGTTTGTTTGTTTGTACGTTTGAATGTGTGTTTGTTTGTTTGTTTGTACACGTGTTCGTTTGTGTGTTTGTTTGTGTGTTTGTGTGTTTGTTTGTTTGTACGTTTAAATGTGTGTGTGTGTTTGTTTGTGTGTTTGCCTGTGTGTTTGTACGTTTGTGTTTTCTTTTGTTTTCATTTCCGCCATACACACACAGGCACAATCGTGCACACACGTACAAAATCCCGAAATAGACACGCACACAGGCATAAACACAGACACACACAAACTTAAGCAAACACACACAAACAAATAAACACACACACACATACAATGCATACGCACACAAACAAACAGCGAAACTGGTCAGTTGGTCGTTGGTGCTGCATGGCACGGAGTACTATCCATTGTTGTCTTCTTCACCAGGAATCTCATATGCGTTCAAAAAATTCAAAGAGAAGAGAGGTTGTTGTCGTTGTTGTGGTTGATGTTGTAGCTGTTGTTGTTGTGGCTGATGTTGTACTATTGTCGTCATGACTGTTGTCGTAGTAGCTGATGTTGTTGCTGTTGCTTTTTTAGCCGTTGTTGTTGTTGCAGCTGATGTTGTAGCTGTTTTCGTTGTAGCTGATATTGTAGCTGTTGTTCTTATAGCTGTTGTTGTTATAACTGATGTTGTAGCTGTTTTCGTTGTAGCTGATATTGTAGCTGTTGTTCTTATAGCTGCTGCTGTTGTAGCTGATGTTGTAGCTGTTGTTCTTATAGCTGTTGTCGTTGTAGCTGTTGTTTACGATGCTGTTTGATTTAAAGTATTTAGTTTCAGCTCGCTAACATTTTTGTTACTCGTTTATGATCCCTCTTTGTAGCGACATTAAGACCTTGGCCGTACAACTACAACAACTACCACTCTCCTTACAACAACTACAACATGCACAATAGCATCAACAGTCACAACATCAACAACATCAACAACAATTACAACAACGCAATCCGCAACAACAGACTTTCATTATACTACAACAAAAAGAAGCACAGGCTATCCGACTCACCTCACCACCACCATCACCACCACCACCACCATCGTCAGCATCATAATTATCGGGATTATTATCATAACTCGTGCGGCAAATCACCGTCATCACTACTATTACAATCGTTCATGTTTTTCATGCTAATGGCGTTTCTTTTATCACCATCATCGTCTTCATCATCATCATCTTCATCTTCTTCATTATCATCATCATCTCCACTCTCAGCATTATTATCCTCATCACCACTACAATCACTACCACCATCGCCATCTTCATCATCGTTGTTGTTACTTAGATAGTTTTGCATGTGCGCGCCTATTGCGTTCGTTCGGTATGTTCACGCACACAAACACACAAACACACACGTACACATAAACGCATGAGAACAAAAACGTTTATTATGCGTTTGCACATATAGTAATTTTCACATAAAAACATGCATATAAATTTTCATCAGTGTATATATTTTTTTAAGTTGCTGGTATGTATATGTATCTATGTATAAATACGTTCGTGTGCGTGCGTGTGTGCGTGTGCATATGTGTACGCTGTGAATGTGCGGGTTTATTACTGTAATTTCATTTTTTCCCTTCATTTTGTATTAATTAATATTCCACCTGGTTCCATCTTTATTGAAATCTATCATGCTATATTTATATATACGTATGCGCATGCCACGCACACATGCACCACACACACACACACACGCACACACACTCACACACGCACGCACATACACATATATATATACATACACGTATACGTGTGTATCTTGTTCATCCAGCTGATGTACATTTGTTCAATTTGAGATTTAATTACAAAAAAAATGTTGATAGGTTTTTTTGAGGAAAGTCATTTTTAACCATTAAAAAATTCAGTATTATTATTATAATTATTATTTTTATTATTTTATTATATATATATATATATATATATATATATATATATATATATATATATATATATATATCTGATGAATCACCCTTCTGTAGTGATTTTAATTTAGAATAAAAATAATTAATACTTAAAGAAATCAATACAGTTCCAAGTTTTGGTAAAAAATAAAATATTGAGCATCGAATTAAGTCATATAATTGAATTCAATATAATTAATTTTTTAATAGAATTAATAACATATTAAATATAACTTAATTTAACTGAATTTAAACTAATCAGTATATACCTTTTTGGAAAAATAAAAGCTTAGTAATGTGGCTATACATAAAAATTGTTTGATTTTATTCTCTTGATATTTCTCTTGATCAATATTTTATGAGTTAATTTCATCGAGTTATTTATTATTTCGCCCTAAAACGTACATATATTTGTAGATACATACTCATACACATACAAACACACACTCACACACAGACACACACACACACACGTTCGCAAACACACACAGACACACACACACACACACAGTGTATATGTAAATATAATGATGGCTTTTACATAAATTTTTACCATTCTAAATGACCAAATTATAGTCACATAAAACGCATACACACAAACACACACACACACACACATATATATATATATATATATATATATTTATATCTTTATATGTTATATATGAGTTATATACAATATTTTCATAATTACTTATACAAGTTTTTCTACATACACACCTACACACAATTAATGTAATTTGCTTACATGTATTTACATATTGTGTTATATTTATATATATATGTATATATATGTTTATATATATATATATATATATATATATATTATGTTCACCTATGTTTTTCACAGCGTGTTATCTCTAATATGTTTATCATTATGTTATTTAATTTTTGAAAATGTTCAACTCTATTATTATTTAATTTAATATTAATAATAACAATAATAATAATAATAATAGTAATAATAATAAAATTAATTATTAATAATAATGATGATAATTGTTGCTTTTATTATTTATTGCTGTATGGATGTCATTTTTTATTACCGTTCATTTATATATAATGTATATTTATTTATTTTTCCAACACGTTCACCATTACGTTGTAACTTCTTTTTTTTTTACATGCAGATGAACCCAAGCAAATACCTACCTACCTACCTACCTACCAAATACCCTCATACAAATCTGTACATAAATATGTACACTTAGACAAGATACATTCATTAACAGGTGTACGTACACCACACATTATAGCGTGCAATAAATGGGGAAAAACATTCAAAAAAATATACAAAGACATACAAAGACATGAGAAAAATTGACAAACATACAGATATAAACACAAAAACATGCAAAAGGCACATTAAAGTACAATAAATGCTAGTTATATTAAGTATGCTTGAAATATTATGTGTATATGTGAAAGCCTGCAGTTTTGAGAACATTTTCGTTTATGTTAGCTTGTTCAGTCATTCATTCAGTCATTCATCCACTCATCTATTTGGCCATTCATTTATTCATTCAATCAGTGATTCATTCATTCATTCTTTCGTGCATGCTTGTTTTCTTCACCCACCAGCTTATTTATTCTGTTCATATATTTATCCCATTGCCTAATTTAAAAGGGTAGTGTGGTGGTAAGCGTTTGGGCTTTAATGACAGACAGTCTAAATGTTGCTTCCCTGCTTCGAAAGCAGATATGGGCAGGGAATGAATGTATTGATTGTCCGCTTGGTTTTGACGGTTGAAAGATGGATGGATGGATAGATGGATAAGATTACAATTGGATAACACTCGTTTTGTGTATTTTTATTTTTACCAGTGCAATCTCTGTAATTATATATAAATATATTCATATTTATATATATATACGTATATATATATATATATGCATGTATATTTATATATATATGTATGTATATATGGTAAATATTAAGACATCTAAACAACAATTTCTTCATTTGATTTTGCAGCATCTAGCACCATCTTAATTAACCTTAAATCGTCAGCATATTTTCAATCCTACCTATTTATTTCCAATCAATCGATCGATCGATCGATCAATCAATCAATCAACCGATCGATCTATCAATCGTGGATGTTTAATATTCAAAAAGTTGTTATACATATAGACTGTATAATATACACTTTTATGAATATATATATATATATATATATGTGTGTGTGTGTGTGTGTGAGTGTGTGTGTGTATTATGTATCCATATATTGAATTTATATATTGATTAATTAATTAATAAATTACAAGATAATTAAATGAATAAAAAGTTATTAATTGAATGTTTGCATTGTTTCATTTTTTACATTTTCTTTTTATTATATTAGAGAGAGAGAGAGAGATCCTCATCGCCCGCCAGTCCAATAGCAACAAAGAAAAAAATACTAGGTATATAGTAGATACAAGATACACATGGAACAACGCACCACAATCATTGTATTTTATAGGCAGTATGAGTCTCTTTGGAGTCGAATCCGGTCAATGCAATAGCACGGCCAGACGCTTTACCATAAAACAATAATATATACAATACAATAAATAATGACTTTAACAACAATAACAACTATAATACTCTTAACAGCAACAACAACAGCAACGACAGCAGCAGCAACACCAACAGCAACAACAACTACTCTTAACATCAACAACAACAATATTAATAACGTTGTTGTTGTTCTTGTTATTTATTTAGGTACATACAAATCTAGAATATACAGAAAATCATTGCTCTTTCTCCATAAATTTAATTTGATTTATTTGATGTACGTTAAGTTTTGTTTAAGATTGTGAGGATTTGAAAAGTTTATCCTTTTGCTGTTTAATTCATTTTAATTTAATTTACAATTTAATTAAATTCATAATTTAATTCATATTTTAATTTAATTAATTTCTTAATTTAATTTATTTCTTAATGTATTTTATTTTTTAGTTTAATTTATTTCTCAATTATTGATTTACGTCCTAATTAGTTTAATTTAATTTAATTTATGCTAATTAAACGTTAAAATATCTTCTGCATGAACAAAACGCTATGTTATCATCATTTTATTTTAATTATTTTTACTATTTTAGCCTCTCCAATGTGTTTAATAATGACTGCCTGCTGGTATGTAAGCGAGAAGGAGTGACTGAACGAGTGAGTGAGTGAATGAATAAGTGAATGAGTTAGGGAGTGAGTTAGTTAGTGAGTGAATGAGTGACTGATTTCTATAATAATGATGATGGCGACGACGATGATGATAAGGCTGATGATGATTTATATGATTAATAAGGTGAAAGATGGTGGGGATGATGACAACGATGATGGTAGTTATGATTCAAATGTGAGTAACAACAATATTAATGATGATCATCATCATTATGACGACGGTGCTGATTATGATGTTGATAATGTGAGCATTCGTGATGATGATGTTGATGGTGGTGATGATAATATGAAATAATGATATAACGAGGTAAAAATATAACCAATGGTATAACTTTATCAGTGATGTTGATTAAGTTTGTGGTCACTGGTTCACTGCTTGATTAGTTGGTTGGTTTGTGGTTAGAATTTTGAATGAATGTTTGAGTGGAAGATGGGGGGAATGAATATATGGGCGAATAAATGAATGAATGGTTGAATAAATGAAAGGGCTAATCAATGAATGAAGGAATAGTTAGATGAATGGATGAATGAATGGATGAATGAATGAATGAATGAATGAATGAATGAATGAATGAATGAATGAATGAATGAATGGTTGGTAAAAAATAATCGTGTCATTAGTTTTTATTAAATATTAAATTTCTGTTTTTTCCGATATTTTTTTTTATAATTTTGTGAAAAAATGAAAGGAAAATAAATAAATATTTTCTGCGATATTTGAAAAAAATGTTTTTTTTTTATTTTAAAAAAATATTTTATTTCTTAAAAAAAATGCAATGAATATGATCGTCGTATCGTTTGAGCAAACAACTGAACTTACTCAATAGCCTTGTTGAAGCTAATCTTACAAGACGTTTACACAAAAATAATAATAATAATGTTAATCGCAATAATAAAAGTAATGAGAATAATATCGTTGCTACAACTAGCGATCGCTAGCTACTGCTATTCGTACTACTACTACTATTAATAATGGAAAGTTTTTAATTGATGCTGTTACATTGCTGCTGCTACTTCTACTACTACTACTACTACTACTACTACTACTACTACTACTACTTCTAGTAGTAGTGCTACTTCTGACGCGGCTTCTTTTACTGCTGCTTCCACTTCTATTACTACAACGACAATAATAGTAGCAGTAACAACAACAACAACATTTATGGCAACGATTGAAAGAACGATAGCAAAGTAATAATATAAATAACAATAACAACAACAACAACAATAATAATAGAAATAACAATTTAGTAACATTTTAACGACTAAATAACGACGTGATCGGTAAATAACAAAAAATAGGCAGCAATCAACAATGGCGTATGTAGCAGTGTTTGCCAAGTTAGCTATGAATTGACTGTAAAAACTTCATTGTTAGCGCTGTATGTATAATAGTAGTAGTGTACTCGTAGCTGCAATAGTAGTAGTGCAGCAGTAGGAGTAGTAGCGGCAAAAGCAGCAGCAGTAGTAGTAGTGTAGTAATAGTAGTAGCAGTAGTAGCAGTAGCAGCTGTTGTTGAATGTTTGTACTTGTAGTGTAGATATTTTGAGTATCATTATCAGTACTGAATGCTTTTAAAAATGCATCACAGTTTCTAATTATTATTACTTTTGAGTGTTACTATAATTATGGACTTGCTTTAGAATCCAGGTACGTCAGTTATGGTTGAGCTGTTAAAGTTGCCTGTCACTTGCTCGTGCTAAGCCAATTTCTCAGGATTTCTTTCCATACATTGCAATGCACTAGTTAGAAGAGATAAATACCTCTTCTTCCCATTATTTCTTCCCATATCTCTTTATGATGATTCTCTTTGTATTGTTACTGCCTTGGTTTGTGGTGATTGTTCAGAATCACCCATCAATACATGCATACATACAAAACACTATATATATATATATATATATATATATATATATATATTGTATTACATTATATATATATATATATATATAGATGAAAATAAAATAGAGTTGAGTTGAAAGTAGTATTAATGATATCATCGTGCAGCATATAATGTTTGTTAACAATGGAAGATACATTAATGCACGATACAAGCATTTAAAATACCAGCAACATACAGTAAATCAACAATACCTGTATACATACGTATGTAGCGCCAACAATACCAACATATATAATACATTATACTAACAATAACAACGTATGTAGGTATAGAGTCACATCACACACAAACACACACATGTTTGTGTGAGGTTTATTGTGTATGTGTGCAATATATGTTTTTATGTGTGTAATACATGTTGTAGAACAAACGACATGCAAATTAAAGTATATATTTAACCTCTGAAAACTAAAATAGAGTCCGGGAATAATTAACAGTTTGGCATGTAAATTTTTACATGAAAGAGTACGAACAATCTGATTTGGAAGGTAGGATGCGCCAAAAATCAGGCGAAGTTTGAAGCATGTGTTTCAAATACTTGAGAAGGATGATTGCATTGAAATGAAATTCCAACGTGATTTTGACAAATTTGTAATCATATTGAACATTTTAAACATGGGAAGTTGTTTAAGGATTGTCAGGGAAGGAATAAAACTGAATGCTTTTCAAATTGCATCACAGTTTATAAAAATTTCAATTCATAGGAATTTGTAGTTAATCACACATTTGTTCAACAACTTACAATCATTAATTAGAATTGTTACTCGTACAAGTTCAAGGTTTGAAAAACTCAATTGGACTGCCAAATTTGTTCATAAAATCTTAAAAGATTTTGCATTATTGTCAACGGAAATGAACATTGTATATGTTAAAACTTAATAAACAATCAGTAATACAACGTTAATCGTTCAATCGATCAATTTATTTTAGAATTTTCAAAATTTTCTCGAGAGAATCAATCTGGTAATAATAAACATTTCGCGTGCTTGCCACGGGCTGTGAAAAAAGTGGCATGTAACATGGGCCGCCAGGTAGAGCTACCTTGGGTGAGTTTAATTGCGCGTAAAAATCGTTCTACAAAATGTATGCGTTAATACAATAATGTCATATGAATAGAAGAAATAATAAAATAAATATCAATACGTATTGTAAATGCTTTTCAGTTGAGATGTTTTCAACAATAGCAGCTGAAGAACTCAGAAGCTTCTTATTCAATGTTATATACTTCTGCTATGATGACTTGCTTGGGCGTTCGATATTTATAAACTCTACCTCTACCGACAGTCTACACTCAACTTGTTTTTTATCAGCTTAAAGTTTTTTTCGATATTAATTTTTCGTAGATGAAGATTTAAGTGGAGTAATTAAATTCCAAGCCGTTCCCCTCCATCAGAGAATTATCAGGTTTATTAATTTAATGTTTTTGATTCATGTCGAATTTCATTTTGATTATTGAAGGTAGTACTATTCGTTTTTATTGTCATCGTGACCCTCGGCACTATATCAAGTTTTTGAAACTTTTGATTCAATTAAATGTATTTCATTTGAGCTGGAAACAATTTTGAGTGCATCTTAAGAAAGTGTGGAAGTGATTAGATGAGTTTATTGGACGATAAGTCATAAACCGATACATCTATCCTTTTTTCTTAACTTGATCAGGATGTTAAAGGCCTTTCTGGTTTTTGTTTTAGAAATGTTATTTTGAGTTTTTCTCATACAGTTATAATTTTGAGAGTCATTTGCTCCTCTTTCGCTTTTACTTTATCAGGTAAATGCTGTTACTGTTATTTTAATTGGTTTAAATTCTTCCTGGTTTTCTTCGGTTTTTACGCCCAAACAAATATTTTTTTTAAAGTTTTATACATTGAGCATTTCAATAATGTAGTAACTGTAGACATGAATGACTCTGTGAGGCTTTGATAGCCGTAGTAGACAATTTTAGGAAAAAAATTGTATTTGAAAAAATTTCCAATGTGTTTCATTTGTTGGCGATACAATTTTTATATTAATAAAAAATATTTATTTGAGAAATTATAATTTGTAACAATTGGCAGCAATGTTCAAGTTGGTCTCTGTGAAAAAGCCGAAGAAGAAGGCCGACCACAGATGTCGCAAGTGCGATGATTCGTCTGACTCCGACTGCAGCTCAGACAGCAACTGCTCTGACTCCGATGTTAGTTGCTTCTTTAATCTTTCAACATTTTTTCAACTGCTGTAATTTTTATTTCTAACATAAAGTGGTTTTAGCTGATGATATCCACTGTTAAATCTTGTTTGTTCGTATAATTAGAATTTTCAAAGAATTGAAGAATTGAACTGTCTACCGAAAAATGTTTTTAATTATTTAATCAATCTTTTTTTCAATAAGGCCATTCCTAATGTTCAGCATATTCTGTTTTTTATATTTTATTTGAAATAAATTCATAACAAACATCTATCTATTGAGCGAATGTGAATAAGAAGAGCATCTTCAAACCAAAGACTTAAAAACTATCACAAAAGTTGAGGTCCGGTCATATCAATACTTTAATGTCGTTTGTTGTTCCTAAGTCACTCTGTTATCAAATACACGTTTGAATGCAAGATTTATTAAATACAATCGCAATTTTGAAAATATTTAGGAGCAATATAGTAACCTTTTTAGAAATTGAGCCAATACTATAATAATACAAGGTAATACTATATAATACTATGTAATATTACGTAATACGGTGCAAACTATATACTACCATGTGAGGCTTTGTACCACCATGCAATATGTATATTGTAATCACCATCATTATCTAACGGCAGACTCAAAGAATATAAAAAAAAGCTGTGTGACATCGCTTTCCTTTTTTATGCAAAGTTTCTTTCCACAAAACTTCTCCCAAGTAAGGTTGAACCGGCATACACATTGCTGGCTCTCTTGTAAGCAGAATGGGTTAAAGATTGCTCCTCTGACATTAAATTGTGACCATAATGCTAGAATTGTCAATAATCTTAAAGCAGTCATTTAAATTTGACAACGAGAATATAAAAAGCAAAAATTTAAATTGAGTTTTAACAAACAGGAAAAGCCAGTTAGAGTGGACAGAAACAGAATACTGGTGAAAGAAGTGGCCGTTCAGAAGCCGGCGCCCAGACCACAGCCGCAACCTAGGGTCGTTTATCGAGAACCAGCTAGAGAAGAACTCGTGAACCTACCTGTTCCCTGCTCTCTGCTGAACAATGAAAGATCGATGACCTACTCGTTAACCATAACTCCGGAAGCACCACCTAGACCTCCATCTCCTCCTCCTCAACTCCAGGTTCAGTACGTTCCTGTCCTCGTTCCTGCCGAACAACAATACAACGATCAGCCTAAATATTTTCCAATTCAAACCCAAATCATTCCTGCTCAAGCTCCGGCTGTTGTCTCTGTTGGTCCTTCCTACACTGAGTATGCTGAGGTCCGCAAAAACCACCACCACCAGCCGACCGTACAAGTGATTGCTGTTAAAGGTCAGGCCCAGCCTGGCTTCAGCTACATTCATTAAAGTAAATAATTCTTTCTCAATCCTTAAACAACCTTTTTTTTAAACAAATTGTTTAATTATATCAACGTTGAAGTAGTATTAAGACACCAATTCCAATAAATTAACAAATTCATTTCTAACAAATACTTTTTGAACTCACACAGACTAGCCATCCATGAAAGCGGGCAAGCCTTACGATCACTATGTGCCCAAATTCATAATATTGACAAATTATCAGTGTTCTTATCATTTTTTATCTCGGTATCGATGTTTTTATTAGCTTATAAGACTAATCTTACATTAATTTATTAATAGTATAATATTTAGTACAACATTTAAATTTCTAATTTGAGACTAAATCTAAGGAATGATGTAATTCATTGAATAATGTAAACTATTTAATAAGCAGTGGTAGCGACGTTAATGAGGATGATGATAAAAAGATTTCAAAACAACTGCCACAAAGTTAATGATGAATAATAAACTGTTTGCATTATCATCAGAAAATAATATAAGCGATTACAGCAGCGATAGTAATAGAAGCAGAAGCAGCAATAATGTCATTAGAATATTGTATATATTGATATATAATATTATATTGATAACATTGTTGTTCTAATTGTACCATTTGGCGTTGTTACTAATTCCAATAAATGTTTAATTACTGTTAATTGAATTGGGATTTTTTCGTCAGCGACTTAGTAAAACTCAAAATCTCAAATAAAAATGTCGCAATCTCCTAAAAAAACTATTTTAATAAAAAAAAAACCATGAGTATGTGTACATTAAAACTTGCGTAAGATGGCACAATTCGTGTAAGGGAAAGCACACTACCGAGTTCCACCCAGTGTTTTCTAAAATGATGATAAATTTTCAGAATAAAAGTTTTTTTTAATTTTTTATGGCGCTTTCTAAAACTTTCTTTGAAAGAGATGGAAACTTCTTTTACTTCTCTGCAGTCTATTTTATACTGATCGTTTCAGAAGTTAGTTAGTTAAGAAAGTTTATAACTAATGGCCAGCGTATGTATTGTTTGACGTGTTGTTAGGTAGAAGGTGTTTCCATGAGTCAAAAAATTTAAATGGAAATTATGAGACGACAATTTGAATGGAGAAATATAACTTGTTTTTAGATTGCTGTGCCCAAGTCATCTGGAAGAGCTATTTATTAGTTATCAGCCCTGAACGATTGTCATTTCAGTTAAAACTGGAGACAAATGTAAAGTGAGGAAAAAGTTGTTTAACGTGATTCAGTTCAAGAATTGTTATGTAGAGAGTAGTAGGACATGCATTAGAGTTTTAGAGTTTTTTGATTCTTTCACATAACCTTGCATCTATAAGAATTGATTACATGCTTTGGTTTTATTGTTTACAAAAGATTTGGGCATATAGAATTTGAAAATATGTTTCAAATTCGCTATCCAAATTGATGTTTGGAATTTAAATTAAACCTTTGAAAACTAATTTAAATAGTATAAACAATTGTTTATTTTGAAATATTAGTTTTTATTAGAATGAGGAATTCAAATTAAGGTTGTTTCTCAAAAGTAGCACCGCAAACAAGCAATCACTTCATTCCTATATATGGCAATTGTTTTAAACTACCATTAAGATTATAAACTTTTAGAATTTGTTTTAATTTTACAAAGTTTAATAGAGGAAAAGTATTCAATTAATAATAATTAAAATTAATATTCAACGTTATTAGAGTTGTCCGTACAACGTTTGGTTACACACCTTCAATATTGAAATAATATATATGTATATTATATATGTTTCAATATATTTATGACTTTCCATAGTTTCAGACAATCTTATATTATTGCTAACTTGACTAACTTGCACGTGTATGTTCTTTTCGCTTTTTGTCGACTAACGTGTCTTCTAATATTTCAATTAACGTTTCTTTAATAAACAATTATATTAAAAACAAACAAAGAAGTTTTTTATTTTAAACATTCAAACCTTTCAGCATAGAGTGCCAGCAGAACTAAGTTAAGATAATGCATAGTTTCATCTTTTTATAACAACAAGTGTGAACATTGTTTTGGATGTAAACCACACATGAATGAAAAAAAAAACTAGATTAGCTCAGTGCTTTGTTTTTCACATATTTGTCGGTCATATTAAATATACATTGGCGATATTTTATACAAATATTTTTTATATGTAGTTCTATTTAGTTGACAGATATGTAATAATTTTGAAATCTAAATAAGACAAAGTAAATGTTAACAGTTGAAAGAAAAATGTATTTCAATGGTTGTGAGAACAGTGGAGTGTTCGTTTGTCCTGGTAAAAGTAACAGTTAGTCAGTCATTAGGTGGCGAGATGTTTAAGGGTTAAGGCGCCTGGTTCTACTGTAGCAGAAACCGGATTCAAATGCCCAGAGATCCACTTCTACCATGTTCACAGTGTAAGAGATGCGTGGATTCACCGCGTGTGTTTGTATGTGTGTATGCCTTTTAAGTGATTCAGTAAGTAAGATTAACCATTTTATCATTGCTTGCCTTCACATGCAACAGTTGAAAGGTTGTTAATTATAAAGTTGTTATGAAATTGAAATAAAATTTTAATAAAGATAAAATTGTAAAAATTGAATAAAATTCGTAGGAAAATTTCAAATTGAGATTAAATGAAGTGAAAATAAAGTTTTTAAAATAAATTTAATGTTAAACTGAAAACACACCCCCAGTAACTTATCATTCAACTAAACTAACCTGAGCTATACTCTGAATGTAAAATATAACAAAAAATTTTAATCGTAACACAAAATGTAACACTTAAATCTATATAAACTTTTCAATAAGCACTGACTGAATAAGCATCATAATAATATTAAAAATAATAAATAATTTTATAAATAAATCACATATAAATAATATAGTTATAAATAAAGAGTCTATTATAAATAAATAACACATAAATAAAATAATTATACATAATAATTCTATTATAAAACCAAGGGGCGAATCCAGAATTTTAAGGTTGATCTTAAAATTCTAATGATGATCACCTGATTTTTTTTGTTAGATTTCAAATTTGATGATTTTTCTTAAAATGAAAAGAGATTTTCATAAGTTGACGACCTATTTCACGCTAACTATTTATTACAAGCGTATTATCGCGATAATTTATTTTTATTATAACGGAATCATTATTATATCATAACTTTGTTACTATATTTTACGTGGAATTTTTGTTATTTTATTCTTACACGGTCTGCTGGGAAGGTGGGTGTACCTAGGATAGCCCCCCTGAATCCGCCAGGGATAAAATACATGGTCGAGGGTAAATAACCTCATAAATTAATAAAGCAAAACGGATTGTTGAATTAATGTATCGCTGGCTTAATTTTATTAAATTGATTCATTAAAAATTATTTGAGGAATGGTTTAGTGGAATTATTTGGGATGGAATGATATTATCAATAAATTAGTAGTTATTCAATGAACGAACAAACAAACGAACGAAAGAACAAACGAACGAATGAATTATTAAATAATTAACACCTACCGGTCCACCGGAAATTCGGGTTATCTTAATGGGATAAGAATATAGAATGATATTTTGAATAAATTTGACTGTATGAATGTCTAAATGTCTGAATGAATGAATGTATGTCTGAATGTATGTCTGAATGTACGTCTGAATGTATGTCTGAATGATTGAATGACTGACCGTCTGAATGACTGAATGAATGTCTGATTGAATGCCTGAATGAATGAAAGAATAAACACAAAATGATATAATTAAATAGTTAGTAAAATAATGTATTGAAAATGATATCATTAAAAAAATTATTGGAAATAAAACCTGGCAAATTATGAACGCACTCGATGACGTTTTTATCCCGTTCCAAGACCCACACTTTCTCCAGGTTTGGATTTTTTAGTCTTTCTATCGAAAGTTTTATCCAATTTGAAAAAATACATTTATTAGCGTAATATCAAATCAAAATTATTATGGATAACCGGATGAACCAAGGGTGGGCAAACTTATGTACTTGAATAGCAAATTTTTTTGAGAATTTGTTTCAGATTTGTGGCTCCTTTTTTTGGTCATAATGTCTCGCTGTTTTGGGATGAACGATTAAATTGAGATGGAGTCTGAAATTTGAAAAACGTCTGCTTCTACAGATGCTTCTTCTTTAGTGAGTGGGTTTGAGCGTAAGAAAGATTATTATTGTCGTATTATTATTAGTAGTAGTAGTAGCAGTGATAGTAGTGGTACAGCTGTTGCAACAGCAGCAAAAAGTGGCAAAATAAATTAGCTGCTTCAGTTGTGGGAGTCGCATGATTGTGGAAGTTGTATTAATTTGGATATGAATAATATTATAAATAATATTAATAGTAAATAATGACTAATAAAATAAATATTTAAAAATAGTCAAGGATAATAAGTAATATTAACAAATTAAGTAAAAAACAAACTTACAAACAAACAAACAGGCAAACAGACAGACAGACAGATAGACAAACAAACATTCAACCGATTTGTAGGGACTGGTTGAACAGGCGTTCTTCTTGACCATGGTAACAGGTGTAGTTGGTCCAGCGCACGAACCGACAGTCACCAATCTCGCACTTCAACTTGCACTCCTCTATCGTCTTGATACCTTTCACTGCGTCAAAGTCGACCACTTCGAATGTGTCCTCTCCCCAATCTGCTGAACATTCTGTGGTAAGTGAAGTTGCTGTCGGTTGTATGTGAAGTTGCTGTCGTATGCGAAGTTCCTGTCGGTGTATGGTGGGAACACACACACACGCACACACACACACGCACACACGCATGTGTTAATCAATACATTTTGTGTTTGATAGACTGGAAACATTTTTGAATTTGAATTTGTTCATTGCGGGATTAAGCGCACCTCTTAACAGTAAGACTCTTTTGATGATTTTATTTTTTTTATCGTTATTTTTTTATTGTGTGTTTGCGAGAATCTTTAAAGATTGTTGTTTTAATCGTCGTTAGTATGTGTTGTTGTTGTTGAAACTTTTAAAATGATTTGTACGTTGTTGTTTAGTTAGCGAGTTGTCGATCGAATGATTGGTTTTGTTGTATTCAGTCCAGATGATGTTGTTGCTAATGATGTTGTTGTTGAGGAGTAATAATGAAGTTCACGTTCAGAACTGATGAGACGTGCTAGAACGTATATAACAAAATGCAGAGGATGGGTTTGGTGTAAAATTTTACATGAAATCAAACCGCAATTAAATGTAGAAAGTAAATTTTTAATTTCATCAACACCAACTTTTAATTTATATATTCATTCAACATGAACATCTGTTTAATAAAATATATCAAGTAGACGAACTCAAAAATTTGCAGCAGACCAACCAACCGGCCAACCACCAACTGACCAAACAGCCCAAAACCAACCGACCAACCAACCCAACCCATCCAATCAACAAACCAACCGAAAAAGCCAACCAATCAATCAACCGACCAACCAACCGACCAACCAACCGACCGACTAACCACCCCACCTAACATGCATATGACGTGATACTTCTTCTCCTTTTGACGGTTACATTCTGCCCTCAACTTCATCTTCTCGAAGAAGAGAACAGCGTTTTCACACCTGCTTTCACTTTCAACGGAACGCGCTGTTTCACCTTTTAAATAATTTTTATATTTGGAATTTATTATAAAATATTTAAAATACATGGAAGGTTGACGTGCAAAAGAAGTTAGCAACAAGTTTATATAGACGTTTTATTTGACTTGAGAATTATTTATCATGAGTAGATTTTAAATGCCTTTGGAAGAGATCACATTTTTGGTTTTGTATGTGCGGGGAATACGATGAAATGTTTTCTAAATTACAGGCGGTGGTATAATGGTTAAAGTGCCTGGCACTGTTATTGCAATGACTGCTCTCGATTGCAAAGAGATCCTCGACTATCACATGCATTTTTTTTGTATTTACATGCACCCAGCGTTTTCTGTAGGATAATACTTGAGAGAATTATGACAAAAAATTTGATGATAATAATAATTATTTATTAAATAATGAATTTTCCTTCACCCACCTAACCTGCCAGGAACATTCCCAATCCACTTCCACTTGGACCCGTGAATGACGGCATTCAGGATGAACTTCAACTCAGTCAGCTTGCTCGCCCGCAGAAACTCATCAATGTAGGTCATGGCCATCTCACCATCAAGTTCAAGAGGTCGACTTTCTAGGTAGATATTGGAACAGAAATTTTTGGCTTTCTTGAGATTGGATACCCTGACGTTGCTGTAAGTAATGAAGCAATCCAGTCCAACTGGCTGGCAGCCTGTCGTTCGTTGTTTTCAGTGCATTATAATATATCGCCATGCCTGCTTTATAACAGACTGCTTTTGGCGGATTGTGATTTTTTAAAGAATAAAAAAGTGTCCCTCTCTCTCTCTCTTTTTCTCTCTCTCATTATCTTTGTTTATCTCTTGCTCTCTCTCTCTCTCTCTACCTGAATATGTATATATGATCGATAGAGTAAGGAGATTTGTGAAGGTCAGGTGTTAGAGAAAATGATTAGGACTTCATTTTGAAAGTGATGGATGGATTGGAGTTGGTCCTATGGAGCTAGCTAATCACGTTTTCCTTTTCGCATTATAATTGGCTTGACTGAGCATAATTTTTTTCAATTGTTATAAAAAAATTATTTCGATTTTTTGGCTCTTTCATTGTTTTCTGTACTTTTGATTTCATTATTAAACAATATCAATAATTTATCTTGAAAAACATTTGCAAGTTTACCTACAGATTTAAAATTTTGATATTCAATTTTTGCTCTATACGGTGTAAGTACACGTAAAAGATATGAAATACGTATAATATACTTACTTATTTTTACAAAATTACCTCTTTTCATCTGGTTCTGATTTTTAAAATACTTTTTCAACAACATCCATGAATTTTTATTAAGCACACACACACACAAACCCACTTCAGAGAGCATTTCAAAACGTAAGTCTTCATCTTTGCATTAGAATTATTAAATGCTCTTTAGCAAACGGATCTTAAAGGTTTCAATAATAAATTTCATTTTTATTCTTTGAGCATGTGAAATATGCTCTACTCAGTTAGCTCACTTTTGTGTTAATCAAATTAATGACTGAGATAAACGCGCGAGTGTGCAAATGGATCAGTGTTTTTTTGTCTCTTATAGTTTCACATTTTAAATAAACGTGTCCTAAAAACCTGTATGTAGATGGGAGAATATTTCTGCTTGGAACAGAAGAACAAATGTCACCAGTACCATCTTCATCGCCCTTATCCTTTCCAATGTATTAAACTTTTCAATCACGGTTATCAGAGGAAAGAGCGGAAGATAGAAATCGTCTGATGTGAACATCTGGTTAGAAGGTAAACGTAATTTATAAATTTAAGTGTCGCAATGAACTTTATGAAACTAAAATATAACTTTGGTGAAGGCTGGGGAAGATAAATAAATAGACTATCAAAAAAATTAATCGAAAATTAGAATTTGAAAAAATTTGAACCAAATTGAAAAAAAATTAAAAAGTATTTTAAAAATTAGAACAGGCGAACAAATGTAAAAATAAATAAACAATAAACAATGGAAAACATATATGAAAACATAAAATCTAGCGAAAAATGTGTTTTCATTAGCGTATTATGGTTAATGCAAAACTAGATTATCAGTATAAAATTATGCTAAGTGAGTTTAATTACATCACGGTAGAAACAAACTAAACATCATTCAATAAAAGATCTACATAAATGTACCGTTATAATAAAGTGTACCTATATGTGAACGTTTGCTGATATAATAACAAGTTATAAAAAATAAATTTACAGAAAAATAAAGAATAAAATGTAGAGAAGAATAATTAATGAATAAAAATTTAGATAATGATGCAAAGATAGCTTAGCTGTGTGTTAGAAAAAACTCTGTTGAACGGGCAAGCAAATAAATGAATGAAATAAAATAAATTCGATATTTGGAAAATGAAACAATAATAACAACAATAAAAGAGTGATAAAAAATGGAAAAAAAAATTAATCTTGAAATTATCCCGAGAACAAACCGTGATTGATGGTCGCCAAACATTTCTCCCAAGATTAATACCAAACGACACT